AGGACGGAGGTCAGATAGAAGACTGAAGGGTAAGACGGAGGTTAGATAGAAGACTGAAGGAAAGGACGGAGGTCAGATAGAAGACTGAAGGGTAAGACGGAGGTTAGATAGAAGACTGAAGGGAAGGACGGAGGTCAGATAGAAGACTGAAGGGAAGAACGGAGGTCAGATTTAAATGTTTATTTCTAAAATGCTAATTTAATAGAAGTAATAAGAAAAGTGACATAAAAGATCAATTTATAAACTTGTAAATATTCCAAAAACAATGAATAAAACAACCAAAATACAATTATAGTTTATTTTTAAGCATTATGTATTCAGGAAAAATGAAAATAAAAAAATACAACAAGAAATATGGAGGGACCATTGCAGGACGGTCCCCTTCCTCTGCCCCCCAACCTGCCCTATTGTCACCCTTCACCCCTCTACAGAAAACTCTTCGAGATGTACAGAGGATGCAGTGTGGTCACTGGGGTGGGATGAGGATGTGGTCACCTCTCCTCTCTGTTCTATGTCTTCCTTCCATTTAATTTGAGTTGAGATAGACAGATAATGGACAAATAGAACCCATCCCCCTCACTGACTGATACAAAAAAAGTCCCTCATTTTTATTGGACAGTTATCCCAGCCAATCACAGTGATCTGTAAGGCAAAGATAGAAAATTCTGAGAACAATATAGTTATAAAGAAAATGCTTCAGGTCTATTTGCTGAATATTTCACCAATTCCGCCACCCCGCCCCATGACATCACCACACTCGAAGACTGGGCGGAGTTCTCAAATCTCCAAATTACCCCCACAGATCTTTATACGACCTCCCCCTACACATACCCCGGCATGGAGGGGCTCAGTGAAGGTGGAGGTGAAGGTGTGGAGGTGTCGGATCGGGTCACACAGATCATAAAAGGAGATCCGCCCGGCCTCATAATCCAGATCTATCCTGACTCTGATACTGGGGATATTGGGGGGGTAAGAGGATCTCATTACTGTCATGTATCACTGAATACTCATCACCTTCCCTATCCAAACCCCAGGACTTGTTATTATTTCCAATCAGTGACTGCAATCCTTCTCCCCTCTCTATACTGGGGTAACACATCCCGACTCTCCAGCTATCTGATCCCTGTAAGACAGTCAGTGGATCCGTCAGGTTACACAGCTCCTCAATGTCACGCATCTTCCTGGACAGCTCGTCCTTCTTTATTTCCAGCTCCCGGATCATATCCAACATGGAGATGGAGGTCCGCTCGGCCCTCCCGGAGATCTCACTCAGGACTCTCTTCTCCAGGTCTTCTAGACGTCTCCTGAGCTCTCTAAACAGGTAAGAGACTCTCTCTGTGTCACCGGCTGATTTTTCTTCTACTTTCCTCCTGTGTTCCTCCAGACTCTGGACTCTTTCCTCCGTCTCCTCTCTCTTCGTCAGAAGTTTCTGCAGAACATTCCTCAGTTTGTACTTCTTCTTCTCAGAAGCCTCATCCAACATCTCCACCTTGTGTCCTCGATGTTCTCCGGCCAGACTGCAGGACACACAGATACAGATATCATCTTCAGTGCAAAAATACTTCAATACTTCCTTATGGACGGAGCACTTCCTGCTCTCCATGGACAAGGTGGGGTCACATAAGATGTGTTCTGGAGACTTTTTGTGGACTCTCAGGTGTTTATCACACAGAGAAACCTCACAGAGCAGACAGGATCTAACAGCAGGTACAGGAGAGTCCACACAGTGAGTACAGAAGACCCCGGACTCCTCCTGATCTGGCTGAGCAGACAGGAAACTCTCCACTATGTTACGCAGTGTTATGTTCCTCTGCAGTGCAGGCCGCTCCTGAAACTTCTCTCTACATACAGGACAGGAATAACCTCCAGACCCCTCCTGTGTATCCAGCACACGACCAATACAGCCCCGGCAGAAGTTGTGTCCACATTTCAGGTTTACAGGATCTGTATAAATGTTCAGACAGACAGAACATTCCAGCTCAGCACTCAGATCAGCAGACGCCATCACTGACCGCAGAAGAGAGAAATGAAGGTGAAAGTCTCTGACAGGGAGAAGAATGCAGTTGGGTGGGTCACATTCTCTCACACAGGGTGCAGCTGAGCTGTGACTCGCACTGTGATCATATAATTAGTTATATAAAGGGACACAGATAATATTGGGGTCTTATACAGTAAATGGCCAGCTTTGGAAAATAAAGGTCATTTTGCATAAAGAATACATTGAAAATGGAAATGTATTTACCACTTTTTACTGCTAGTTACTCTCTACCCCTGCTCAGCACTGAAAATAGAAGGATCGGTGCCCAATAACAACAAGATGGAAAACCTCTGTGTGCTAACATGAGATCCTCAAACAGCAGGAGGTGCTCATTATTTTCTTTTCAAGTTATGAGGAGCCCGTTCATCACATCTAATCGTCGAATCTGGAGCATCACTTGCAAACCTCTCCAAAATATTGTCCATCCTTAAATCACTCTGTCTCTTACAAACATAAAAATTAATACAAGGCAGCCAGTAAAAGTGCAGTAATAATACTTCCCAGACCTCATGTCTCTAATCTTTGTTCTCTTGTAGAGATAGAAGCAGTGGTAGAATCTTCATCGCGCAATACTTCGGGTGTGTCTGATAGTTGTATCTTTTGAGTGCCCACTGTGGCCCCCAACAGCTCATGCGTCTCTTCAGATCTGCAGAGACACACTAGTGACGTAGTGACAGCTGGGTGGAACCACAGTGAGGAGATGATGGAATCTGACACACCCGGAAGTGTTGGGTACTGAAGATTCTACTTAAACACTTAAAAATTGTTTTCTTGCTCCTCCAACCTCCAAGATGACAATAATGGAAACCATTAAACCATACCTTGTCACCACTAAGAAGGAAACAGTTCCTGCCAAGGAACGTGTGGTCAGGGGAGGCAGGTGAGGCAGAGCATTACCTAGTATTATGAAGAAAAAAGGCGTCAGCTGACAGCTTTTTCTCCATTCAGAGCGGCATGTTACAGGTTACATACCAGGGAAATCCCCCCCGCTGTGTAACCTGTCATGGACGGAGCGCTGAGTGGTAATTACAGGCGGCGCTGCATCCGGCTTTTAGCAGGTAGTTAGGTTACACAGCAGGCTTCCCCACTGCTTGTGTAACCTAACTTGGTGAGGCTATGTACCGTAACACATAATGATAAGACTAAAAATTACATTAAGGAAATCTTTCACAATTATAGAAAATAATAGTTTCTTCAAGAATTAATATTTCTTAGCAATACAATTTTTTCAGGGTGCAGAAAAGATGAAGAGAGAGTACAATATACCCTGGGCATAATGTTAATGTACAATATTCATATTGTAGATCCTAAACTGAATTAATTTGCTACAATTAATGACATTTCATCTATTATACGTGAAGAAATCGATTCCCCACGTCACAACATTTGAGGGATTTTGGTAATCCTGAATATTAGGGATGCACCGATACCGGTTTTTCAGTATCAAGTACAAGTACCGATATTTTGCTTTTGGTACTCACCGATACCAAGTACCGATACCTGTGTTTCTGCTGGCATGGAGTCGGCTTCCCAGGCAATCAGGAAGCTGGGCGGCGTGTAATGACATGCTGCCCGGTTTTCTGATTGCCCGGGAAGCCAGCTCCATTTTGTTTGGCCGTCTCGATTGTGATTGGCCGGGAAACCGGCTTCCCAGCCAATCAGCAAGGAGTCGGCTTCCCGGCATTACTCGCCACCTGGCTTGCTGATTGCCCGGGAAGCTGGCTCCATGTTCCCCTACGGCACTACCGGTCATAGGAAATCTTCCCCTTCCATTTGGGCGAGTATGAGTACTCCACCAAATACTCGGTATCGGCACCAATACTAGTATCAGTGCATCCCTACTGATTATTGATGAGTGAATGTTCCTAGGTTTGATTGAGAAACCCTTTGATGAAATCATTGTAAGTTCTTGGAAATGCAAACTGAACCCCACTGAAGTCAAAATGGGCTGAATCTTGAAAATCAATTCCATTTTCAAGGCTAATAGGTAAGGGATTGTCAAAGAGTATAGAGAGTTGAGCACTGCCACATGTTCAGGTGGACATGTTCCAATGTCAAAAAAATTAGAAGTACTCTTTAGCAACTTCAAGGGTGACATGGGAAAAATACAATTTATAATTACATGCTTGGGAGGTTCCTTTGAGTTATTTGCGATGTTACTGAACAATACAAATGTCCCAGACAGTGTCAGCTGGCTTGGCATGGCTTAACATCATTGGGGCACTGTGAGTTAACATTACCTATGAGATAACATCAACGGTTGGGGCACTATACCCTCTAATGGACCTTTTATTCCTCTCAATGTGCCTGTCCTGACCTCTGGATCAGTGACATCATTGCTGATTTTCCCTCAGGGCTCTCATGTTGTTGTCACTGCTGGTTACTCGGCAGGAATGTTAGGCTGAGAAGAAAGGAGAAGGCCTGTAGTCAGGTCATTTCATATTTGGTTCCAGGCCTTGTGCAGATTGTCCATCATTGTAGATGAAGAAGAGCCGAGACTGATAGACCTCTATTAGAGATCATGTATTTGAAGCATATTGTCTTCTGGTAACCTGTTCCGGTTCTGTTATGTTGAATGATAATGACAACGCTGGCAGTCACCCCCAAATTAAATGGGGATCGGAGAAGATCTGACTGTGGCGGGATTTAAAGTGGTAGTACACCTTTGGAATGTAAAATAAACAAAGCTCGTCCTCACATAGTGTGTACTTACCTGAATCATTAGCTCCTAGTGTGCATTCTGCCAGCTCTCCCCATCCCCCTATGGTCAGCATGAGTCTGTATGACTTCCTGATAGCTGCTTCCTCCAGCCAATCCAGGGCATGACTCCGCCCCCTCCTGTAGCAGAGAGAAGGTGATTGACAGCCTCACTGAGCAGACTATGCTGGTAGCTGTGTAATAGGGGGTGTGTCCATTTCCTTATATGGACAACACTCATTTGTCACATGGCACTCAGTTCTCTGCTCTGTTCAGGACAGCGATACTCAGCAGAGCCAATCACATGACTGCAATCCTACGCCCACCTACTGTAAAGGGAGCTCCCACCATGAGGAGGACTAAGGACTCTGATGTAAATGGTGCTCCCACCATGAGGAGGACTAAGGACTCTGATATAAATGGTGCTCCCACCATGAGGAGGAATAAGGACTCTAATGTAAAGGGGGCTCTTCCAAGAGGTGGACTGAGGACTCTGATGTAAAGGGGGCTCCCACCATGAGGAGGACTGAGAGCTCTGATGTAAAGGGGCTCCCACCATGAGGAGGACTGAGGACTCTGATGTAAAGGAGGCTCCCACCATGAGGAGGACTGAGAGCTCTGATGTAAAGGGGCTCCCACCATGAGGAGGACTGAGGACTCTGATATAAATGGTGCTCCCACCATGAGGAGGAATAAGGACTCTGATGTAAAGGGGCTCCCACCATGAGGAGGACTGAGGACTCTGATATAAATGGTGCTCCCACCATGAGGAGGAAAAAGGACTCTGATGTAAAGGGGGCTCCCACCATGAGGAGGAATAAGGAATAAAATGTTTTTCATTTAAATTTACCAGAGAATCCTTCTACTGATCTATGTGTGTGAGAGAGCTCCTACCTGCACCAAGCAATGGAGCGATCAAGCCCTGGAGACACCCAGGCCCCCCTAGACATGGATGAAGGGGATCTGAAAGGACCTGAGCAATGTCTGAGTGACAAAAAGTCAAAAATGGAGAAATCTCTGTTGCTGGAAACTCAAACAAGCCTTATGGACAGGTCCTGTCCGCAGCCAGGTGAGAGCCCAGCAAGGGTGGGGGACAGACAGAGGAAAGTTTGTGAGTTGGTGGAATGTGTGTGCGCCTTTGATTTTCCCTGCTTTGAAGCTGACATTTTGTTTTTGCAAGAGACCTGGCTGAAATCTCAGGCTGAGATGCTGTCAGCCAAAAGGGAGTGGTGTCATGGGTCTTCCCTCTGGTCTCTTGCGGCCGAGCCCCACAGTGGAGTTGCAGTCCTTTTTAAGACTGGTTCGGTGGCTTGCTGATGAGTTATTGAGGTGGAGATTGGTAGATGTTTGGTCTTAGACACTGTGAAGGGGCAGTTCCTACACCTGACCTTATCAATTTCTATGGTCCTGAGTCCAGATGGGCAAGAAAGTGCCTTCTTACAAGGGTCAATCCTTACCTGTTTATGTCCCATCAGGTGATCTTTGGCAGTGATTTCAACATCAACACTAGACCTAAGGACAGGGCAGGTGCCAGAGGTGCCCTGGGATCAGATAGCATTCTTTTGAATAGGATAGTTGGTGGACGTGCACGTTCGACACCTCCACGACCACACTGGTTTCATTGTTTCCCAAGGTAGCTGTCAGAGTAGATGAGACAGGTTTTTTTTTAAGGAGGATTCGGTGTCTGCGGCTCCCGAGTTGCAGGCAGTAGAGTTCTCTGATCACCTTTGTCTTTGGGTAGTCTTGAATCTTGCAGAGACCCCTCAGAAAGGCAGGGGTTTGTGGTGTCTTAATGTGACGCTGCTTGAGGACCCTGAGGTGAAGCAGTCCTTTAAGACTTTCTACATGGACCAGACCTCGCTCTTAGAGGGCAATTGTTCCCACCTGGAATGGTGGGAAGTAGTTAAGAAGAGGTCTGTGAATGTCTTCTGTGGGGTCTCAATGCACAGGGCCATCTCGAAATACCGTTCCTACCTGCGATTATGTAGACAACTAGACTGTCTGGTATCATCGGGTGGTTTGCAGGAGGAGATACCGGTCTAACGTGCCGTCTGAGAGAGTGCCAGTATGACCGTCTTGCCTCTCTTGTCTTTGAAAGGGATTACGGGAATTTCTGCTCCCCGGACCTCTGCAGTCTAACTGGAGAGACTCAAGAGCATCGAAGGTTGTGCATGGTCTGCGTGACACCTCAGGCTCCCTTGTTAGGTCCAAGCAGGAGATCCTGGGCATCATCAGGACCCATTTTTCAGGCCTCTTGAGGGCGAGAACTTTGGTTAAGG